TCCAGTAGGGGTCCAGATTGGGGGGTCCACGTACTGACCCATTTTTACGTGACTTTGTATTGATTTGGCTCGAAAGGGGTGTTGGAAATCACCAGTTCACCCAACACTAGTCTCGTTTCAAATCTTTTATTCGTCACAAAGCTCACCAAAAATCTCAACCGTAACCGAACACGTTGCTTTTCTACTCTGAATTACAGATCATTCCTTATTGTAAATGTATTCTATGTTAACGTGATCAACTTGTCGCTCAAGCTTAGTTATGTTAATCTGTTTGGTCGTTGATTACTGTCACGGTCCTTGTCACGATATGAATTTCCTTTTTTGACACGCACCTATGAGTAGCGCAGTATCTTTAACAGGGGCGTGACAGAGTGATTATTGTCTTATTCAAGGTTGATTTGATTATCGAACTCATTTTACTCATCCGTTGTTTCTAGCTGCTTTTCAGTCGGCCGGAGAACAAAGAACCACCTGAGATCGAACACTGTGAAAAACTCTAAGGTATGAAAACTTTGATGCCGACGTACCTCAGTTACTCCGTATTCTAGCCTAGAGGTGACTCTTTAAGTCTGACGTCATTAGGGGTGGTGACTGGTCCTTCAAAAACCCATGGTCTCGCAAAATTTTCGCCGAATTTCACGGGTCTCGCAGTCTCGTTTTTTANTGTTCTTACCACATTTTGACGTCTTCTGCGATCAATTACTGAACAGACGCACGGCAACATGGAATCTATTTGTATAATCGAGATTTTTACGTGACTTTGTATTGATTTGGCTCGAAAGGCGCGTGACAGAGTGATTATTGTCTTATTCAAGGTTGATTTGATTATCGAACTCATTTTACTCATCCGTTGCTTCTAGCTGCTTTTCAGTCGGCCGGAGAACAAAGACCCAACTGAGATTGAACACTTTGAAAAACTATAAGGTATGAAAACTTTGATGCCGACGTACCTCAGTTACTCCGTGTTCTAGCCTAGAGGTGACTCTTTAAGTTTGGCGTCATTAGGGGTGGTGAATGGTCCTTTAAAAAGCCATGGTCTCGCAAAATTTTCGCCGAATTTCACGGGTCTCGCAGTCTCGTTTTTTAGCGGTTATGTGCGTCTCGCAGTCTCAATTTTTCTCACAAAGCTGTCTCGCAGTCTCGATTGTTTTCAAGGCTAAGAAAGTCGTCAAGTACCGATTTGTCTATTCTTTTATAAAGTTAAATGACATCACAACATCTTAGAACCTGAACGTCTTGAGTTCGCATTTAAAACACTTTAAAGTCTCGGTCTCGTAATTGAAGAAATCAAAATGTCTCGGGCTTGCAAAGAAAAACGCTAATCTC